CTCCCCACAGTCCCACCCGCTCCAGCCATTGTCAGCCAGGACAAAGGGCGGGGGCCGCCACAGCTCCCTGCAGGGCAGTGAGGGCCCTTTGTCCTGGGCTGGGCCCTGCGGGGGCTCACCACTGGGCCTGGCCCCCTCCCCACAGTCCCACCCGCTCCAGCCATTGTCAGCCAGGACAAAGGGCGGGGGCCGCCACAGCTCCCTGCAGGGCAGTGAGGGCCCTTTGTCCTGGGCTGGGCCCTGCGGGGGCTGCGCACGGACGGGGCAATGAGCTGTGCCTCGCGGGCTGGGGCAGAGCCTGCTATGCCGACTGGGCAGGATGCAGCCCCTCCTGCAGCCCCACAGCGGAGGGTGCCTCCTGCACCCCTGCCCTGGCTGGGAGCGCTCCACTCAGCATTGGGGGCCCAGGGGAAGACCCTTCGGGCTGGGCAAGGCTGGTGGGCACCTGCCCAGCACCGGGCATGGCTCAGGTCCGACGGAGCAGACCTTGGCAGCGTGCTGCATGCACCGGAGGGAGCAGGACATCTGACTGCTCTGCTGGGTGTCCTCGGGCAAGTCACAGCCTCGCTCCATGCCTCAGTTTCCCCAGCGAGGCTGTGTTTAGTCAGGGCATGGCTGATGCGGGTGCTGTGTAACTGGGCCCCACAGCGGCAGACAGCCAGCAGGGTCCCAATGTCTGCAGCAGGCAGGAGAAGCTCTGACCGATGCTAACGAACTCGCTCGGGCTGGAATTGATCTATGAGCCTCCTGCTTGTTCCTTGTGTCCCAGCAGCCAGGGCATTAGGCCAGCCTTGCCTGTCATTTGCAGAGGGACGTTCTCTTCTAGAGCTGTCACGGAGCAGCCTCCAGCCCCCTCATGTAAAATCATCAGTGCTTTCCCGGAAAAACTATGCTGCTCCCATTTGGGCAAAAGTCTTTTTCCGAAAGACTTTTGCGCAAAAGGGCCAGTGTAGACAGCATAGTACTATTTTCCACAAAAAAGCCTCGATCGCGAAAAAGGCGATCGGGGCTTTTTTGTGGAAAATCACGTCTAGATTGGCCACAGATACTTTTCCGCAAAAATTGCTTTTGCGGAAAAGCATCCTGCCAATCTAGACGTGCTTTTCCGAAAATGCTTTTAACGGAAATCTTTTCCGTTAAAAACATTTTTGGAAATTCATGCCAGTGTAGACGTAGCCTATACGTATAGTTGGGGTTATTTTCCCCGATGTGCATTACTTTACACTTATCCACATTAAATTTCATTTGCCATTTTGTTGCTCAATCACTCAGTTTGGTAAGAAATGTCATTCTTGATTGGTAAGATCTTCTTGGAGTCCCTCACAGTCTGCTTCTGTCTTGACTATCCTAAACAGTTTGGTATCATCCGCAAACTTTACCACCTCACTGCTTACCCCTTTCTCCTGATCATTTATGAATAAGTTGAAAAGGATTGGTCCCAGGACTGACTCTTGGGGGACACCACTAGTTACCCCTCTCCATTCTGAAAATTTACCATTTATTCCTACCCTTTGATTCCTGTCTTTTAATCAGTTCCCAATCCAAGAAAGGACCTTCCCTCTTATCCCATGGCCATGCAATTTACACAAGAGCCTTTGGTGAGGGACCTTGTCAAAGGCTTTCTGAAAATCTAAGTATACTATATCTACTGGATCCCCCTTGTCCGCATGTTTGTTAACCCCTTCAAAGAACTCTAATAGATTAGTAAGACAGGATTTCCCTTTACAGAAACCATGTTGACTTTTGTCCAACAAATTATGTTCTTCTACATGCTTCACAATTTTTATAATTCTTTATAGACAAGTAGCAGTTCTTTTGAGATGATCCCTCTGAGGCTATGTGAAAGCTTTCAGACTACAGTGATGGAGGCTGTATAAATAGACAGGCAGACAGAGTGATGTATTGGTCTAAAATCCAGAGAAACAATTAGGAAGAGAGACTCTGCCCTTATCAGCTGCAGCTTGAGTCAAGTGTCAGAATCTCCTCTTGAAAGAGGCTTGCCTTAAAGATAGCCCATCACATTTTAGTGTGAGAGAATAAGAAGCTGAAACATGACCAGAACGGAATTTCTGTGATGTAGTTAGGATACCAAACTAAAACAATCTTTTAACAGGAAGAGAAAACACAGAGTAGAGAAAGGTGCCTTTTTTAATTCCCTCCCCCAAAGTCTCATCTACTCTAATCACTGTTTATTATTTTATTATTTGATAATAAATGGCCAAATTTTTCAAAAGTGGCTAATGATTTTGGATGCTTTTTTGGGGAGGTGGGGGGAAGAAGGGAAATGGGGTTGCTCAGCCTGAGATACTTTAACTCAGGGGTGCAAAGTTCAGGGACCGCTGACCCACAGAAAAATTAATCAGGGACACTAGGATTGGACTTCCACTTCTTAAAAGATGCCTTTTTGTCCCTCGCTGCTTCTTTTACATGGTGGTTAAGCCAGGGTGACTCTTTTTTAGGTCTCTTGCTATGTTTTTTAATTTGGGGTATACATTTAAGTTGGGCCTCTATTATGCTGACTTTAAAAAGTTTCCATGCAGCTTGCAGGGATTTGGCTCTAGTCACTGTGCCTTTTAATTTCTGTTTAATTAACCTTCTCATTTTTGTGTAGTTCCCCTTTTTGAAATTAAATGCCAGGATGCTGGACTGCTGGGGTGTTTTTCCCACCACCGGAATGTTAAAGGCTATTATGGGCACTATTCCCAAGCGGTCCTGTAATGGTTATCTCCTGGACCTGATCCTGCGTTCCACTCAGGACTAAATCGAGAATTGCCTCTCCCCTTGTGGGTTCCTGTACCAGCTGCTCCAATCTCACCAAATAAAAAATTTCTTCTGATCCTAAAGGAGCAGCTACATTCCCAGGTCAACATATAGCTCAAATCTTGGCTGATGGCCAATCCTTTAGAATCTAAAATCTAATGATTTATTTATAAGGGAAGGAAGGAAGGGTTAAAATTGCCTAAGGGAATCAAATACATACACCAAATGCAAAGTTCTGGGTACAGGCTGGTAGGACTGATGGATTAAGTCAAGTCTCTGGAGTACATCTGATGTTAAATGGTCACCAATCCTTTTTTTTTTTTTTTTTTTTTTTTTTTTTTTTTTTTTTTTTTTTGAGTTTCTAGGATCTGTATGCAAACACTTATATAATGAGCAAGTCTTTAACTGTCTGGGACTCTTTTCATCAGCTCCTACCCATACGTTATCAACTTCTAATCTCTCCTCCTTACTAGGATATAGAGGATCACTATAACAAATCTTCATAATAAATCCCCATAATAAAGTTCCTCCAGAGGTGAAAAGCAGTATTAGAGGAATTTCAGGGTCCTCTATGTGTCCTCCGCCATGTGAGGGGAATCCCATTGTTCTCGCTGTGTAAAAGTATGTCCCAAGGTGTCTGGAGTCATGTGGGCAAGGCACCTGTTCTTTGCAGGGGGATACCAGGGCCCACATTCCAGAGTGAAGGTTTACAGAAAAGTCCATTCAGTGGAGTTGGTGCCTTTCATGCTTTATTGCCCATTGAATGTTCCTTGGTGGCCCAATCAACCTGAATAGCCTTTCCTAGGCACGCTGGCTCGCTCCTCCGTCTGTGTTACGGCAGGAGCCAACATTTGAAATGCAGACACGTTCGTATCTTCAAGTACCGAAATGATACACGCTCACAAATCCCACAACTCTAGCCAGCAAACCATGAGCCTTACGTCCACTTCTCCCTTGGCCCACTTTGACCAGGGTTGGATGCAAACAGCGAACATGTGTCATGGGCAAGGGTTTATTGAGCTCTGAACGCAGCAAAGGGTCTCTCAGGCGTGTAGTCCTGCAAGTCTGAATCTCCCTTGCAGGCAGGTGGGCTCTGCCTGCTCTCCCCCTGCCCTGTTCAGAAGCCCCCTTCTTCCAGCTGAGCCTCCAGTATCCCCTATAACAGCTCCTCGCCTGTCCACTGTCTTCTATCCAGGGTCGCCTGGGCCCCTCCCTTCTCTGCCTGTCCACCTTAACTCTGCCCTTCTGCCCTGATAACCCTTTAAGTCTGCCTGGATGCTGCCATCCGAGCTAGGTCTGCCGGTCACCAGGTCACCAATTGCTGCTGTCTCCAGTTCTGTGCTGTTCTCTGCAACAACAACTCCCTCTCCCCTGACCACATTAAACCAGTAACACTCAGGGACACTGCGTGCCCCCCTCTGCATACAACCTCCCTTTGAGCCTCCCCCCCAAACTCCCATACTTCCTCATATCATGTCACATATGATATGTCATCTAATGACATATAATAACGTCAGCAGAGGATGCAGAGAGCCAGGCCCGTGGCTTCCTTTGTACGCTGATTGCTGTGGTGAGACCAAAGATGGAATTGCCATGACACGTCCTGGAATTCATGGTTCACTGCGAGGGAAGTGTGTTCCATCACCTTAACTCTGCCCTTCTGCCCCTTCATTCTGCACTTCTGGCCCCTTAATTCTTCCCCAATGCCCCCTTAAATCTGCCTGGATGCTCTCCTAAACTCTGTCCCAGTGCCCCCTTAATGATGCCTCAGTGCCCCTTTATCTTTGCCCTACAGCCCCCTTTAATCTGGTTCAGTGCCCCCTTTAATTCTTCTACAACACCCCCTTAACTATGTCTTGATGCTCCCTTAACTCTGGCCCAACACCACCTTAATGCTGGCTCAATATCCCCTTAACTCTGCCCAATTACTTGCCTTAACTCTGCCTGACACCCACCTTATCTCTGCGCTGATGCTTACCTTAACTTTGCCCTATCACATGCCTTGATTCTCCCAAGGCTTGACATCTGTCCGCACCCCCCACAGGCCAGGGTGCCTCTTCTGGTCATGCTCTTGTCCAGGGCTAGTCACTTGGCGACGGAGGCCAAGGGCGGACAGCCAGATGCGTTTGAACAGAACCCATTATTGATATAGTGTTACTGTCGATGGAGGCTGGGCGTGACAAGTCCTTGACTAAGAAATTTGAACCTTGACACAAACCAGTGGACTCCTGCCTGGCTCTGGGAGGTTGGGTTCGCTGTGCTGGGGGTGATGAGGGCAGGGTCTCCAGGGTGTGCTGGGGGTGATGTGGCTCATGTCTCCTCCTTGGGCAGGTTCGCCACCAAGGAGCGGAACGGGCTGCTCCTGTACAACGGGCGTTTCAATGAGAAGCACGACTTCGTGGCCTTGGAGATCGTCCATGAGCAGATCCAGCTCACCTTCTCAGCAGGTAGGGCCTGGCCTGGCCCGGCTCCCCTTCGCCCCGCTCTGCCCCAGCCCGCTTTGCCCCCCTGTGGCTCTCCTCAGCCTTGGGTCCAGCTCCACTTTGCCCCTTTGGGCCCTTCGACACCAGACCTGGCTCCCCTCAGCTCTCCACGGCCCTGGGCCTGAATCCCCCTTTCCCTCCCGGCTCCAGGCCTGGCTTCCCTCAGCACACCAGCCCTCACCCCAGCTGCCCTGCTCTCAGGTGCCCGAACCCTGCCTCTCCTCCCTCTGGCTCCCCAGCATGCAGCTTCCCACAGACCCCTGTGCCCGCAGACCCTGAGCCCCATTCTCTGAGCTCTCCGACCCCCTGCCCACTCCAGCTGTGGTTCCTCCACTCTCCTGGGCCCCGTGGTAACCAGTGACTTCCTTCTCCCCCCAGGCGAGTCAACCACCACGGTGTCGCCGTCCGTGCCAGGTGGCGTGAGCGACGGGCAGTGGCACACAGTCCGGCTGCAGTACTACAACAAGGTGAGCAGGGCAGCACCCGCAGGCACCTGGAAGGCAGGGCATTTGGGCCATCTGTGGGTGCAGTGTGAACCCTTGAGTTACGTGGTGCAAACTCCTGAGGCCAGTGCAGACGGTGCCAGGTTGCTGGAGGAGGTTGGCCACCCTGTGGGGAGGCAGATGAACTACTCCTTCCTCAGGCTCAGCTGACATCTGTGCTGGTGTGGTCCAGCATGACCCATGCAGCTATGCCCTGAGGCAGCCTCCTGCTAGAGCCATGGCCGCCCAGCTAGGATGAGCCAGCTGCTGGGCACAGCAGAGCCAGGCCTGAGGGTGGCACAGAACAGGAGGAAGCTTTGGGCTGCTGTGAGCCAAAGCCCAGCCAAATTCCCTTGCTCAGGCTCTGTCTGTCCTTGCTCTTGTCCAGGGGACTCAGCCAGCTTTGCTCCTTCCTACCCTCCTGCTTCTTGCCCTCCTGTCCGGGCGTGAGGGGTATGAGCCAGCTGCTGGGCACAGCAGAGCCAGGCCTGAGGGTGGCACAGAACAGGAGGAAGCTTTGGGCTGCTGTGAGCCAAAGCCCAGCCAAATTCCCTTGCTCAGGCTCTGTCTGTCCTTGCTCTTGTCCAGGGGACTCAGCCAGCTTTGCTCCTTCCTACCCTCCTGCTTCTTGCCCTCCTGTCCGGGCGTGAGGGGTTGACCAGCTGCCAATGAAGAGGCAGGGAATCCATCCACAGCTGGGTGCTAGA